GTGTGGTGGACACGGATACTTAGCCAGTCAGTCCCAGACATGGACGCTTACACCACACAGACACATTGTCACTCAGACACTAAGCCGCTGGAACTGGGTCTGTTTCAGTGAACCGGCTTGGCGATCTGCGTGATGACAATGATCCAAACTGCACCTATGAGGGAGACAACAACGTGTTGCTGCAGCAAACCAGCAACTACCTGCTCAGCTGGCTCCACGCTAAACGCCACGGTCAGTTCTGTGTGCACCACATATCAATTCAATTCAAGCGCTTTCCAAACAGAGCAGGTCAGACCCTGAAGTTAATTACAGAAACCCAACGATTTCCACCATGAGCAAGCACTAGGCGACACAGGCAAGGAACAACTTCCTTTAACAGGCAGAAACCTGGAGCACAACCATGGATCAGGGTGGGGGGGCATCTGCCTCGGCCGGTTGGGGGTGAGGGAAAGAGAGGGCAAGAGAGAGAGAGAGAGAGAGAGAGAAGGACAGAGGGAGCAGAGAGAGGCAGCCAACACAGCAACACGTAGAATAGATGAAAAATGGCAATGATATTAATACTAATGATGATGGTAGAAGTTATGACGGCAACAGAGCAGGAACACGGGGGCAGCAGGAAAGAAATATCACACCAAGATATTTAGAAAAAGCATAGATTATCTGCTTTTATGTTTAGTGGTTATTATGATATGTATTTTTATTATTCAATTCATTCAATTGTTTAATGCGGCTTTACAGACAATGAAAGCTGAGAGGTTAAATGCGATATATTTGTGAATTATGCAAGTACAGGCAGTCCGTTCACCGTTTGCCAGTCAGTATTTCCGGCATGGTGAGATTGTTAAAAAGATGGACTACATAACTGGTCAGTGCTGTGTGTCTTTTTCAGCTTGACTTTAGTGGTTTGACTTCACTCTAAAGAATTCTCATACCTTACATGCAATGAAACTTGCAAAGAGCTGTTTAACCAGAATAGTTGTGAAAGAATGCAATGAAGTCTACATTTCTATGCCGTACATCAGATTTGATCAGAACATAAATGAGTGTTGAAATCACCCACGTTTGAGGGCATGCACTATACGTGTGACTACATTCAGTTCACCAGGTTACACCTTCAGAGTTCACAATGAAAGAGCCAAGAAGCAAACAGACTGGACTCCAGTCTAAGAAACAGGTGGTTATGACAGGGTTTGATTTAACTCCAACTCAGTTAGTCACAGTTATCGTGGACAATGTGGTGGTGTGGGTCATCCCAAAGAGCATCCCATGTAGGCCTGTGAGCGACATCAGCTCAGAGGTCCACCAGCCCCCCAGAGACTGTTTTTCTCAGACTTAATTTGATTTCCTTTTCATTCCATAAGGGTCTTATCATCAAAACTATTTAAAATCAGATTTATTAGCAAATATTCCAGGCTGCCACAGTGCCTTCTAGCCGTCTGTGGCAATTAAACCTCATGATCTGTTAAACAGATTTAGACGATCTGGTTCCTTAAACTCTAAAGGTTTTCTCCCCTTTTCGTCTTTTGTGCTACATTATCTACAAAATGACAGCAAGACTAGTACCTTTACATGGTGAAGCCGTTTCACCATTTTTCATTCCCAGTGGAAAGTCCCCATCAATTCATCCATTTTGTCTGAAACGTTATTGTGGGTGAAACCTAATCTTTATAGACAAAAAAAAATCATTTCCTCATTTAATCCGTGATTTAACTTATGTATCAAGCATAGACTGACTGGAGTCACTCCGAATTAAAGGTAGAAAATATTCCCTGGAGAAATGAAAGGGAATGCTTTATTTAAATTATCTTCATGCCAAATGGCTAATGTAAAAAGACAAAACAAAAAAAAGGAGAAACTGGTACTTGATCATAATTTGAACACACTGTTTTAGTTCTTTAGCATCTGAAAAGTACACATCAGTAGTTCCAGCATCCCTGTAAACAGCATGGTGGACATATTCTGCCGTAGTTATTTGTTAACTGTAATCACAAAAGATTAACCTATTCTGGAAACATTTTCGTGTAATAATCATGATCCTTGGCATGATGTTCTGATCATTTACTGAACGTTGTTCTCCAAAGTGCTCTTGACTATTAGTTTTCCTGTATTGGCTGCAATGGCATGTTTAGGTTTCAAGTTCTTTTCAGCAAGCGTTTCGTTTCCGATTTCAGTCGTTCAGTAAATGCAGCTCAATTTGAACTTTTACAGTGTTCAGCAGATTGTGTTCACACTAAATCTCCAGCAGGAAATTGCCTTTATATTTTAATGTGTAGATCATTTGGCACGCAGATTTGGCACAGGGTCCTCTGGGTTCACAGCCTGAACTAGGCTTCAGTGTGAGTTCTGTCATTTCAGAGGGCGTCCGGATTGAATCTCCTCTGCACACCGTGGATTTTCTGGATGATTTCTCGAGTTTGCTGGAAACCAGGTTTACGGCAACAACTCTGGAAGAGTGCATGTGCTCCGAAGGTATTTAAGTGTTTCAGCGTTATAAGAAAACAGAATAGATCCATGATGGAGGCTCCGTCTGAGCTTTATTGTAAGCAGAGTTTTGTGTTGACTGGCTAAAAGAACACAACCAGCTAAAGTTATCCTGACGGTGGCGAGTTAAAAGAGGAATTTGTCTTAATCAGCAAAAGCTTGGTATAAGTATAAAAAGAGCTAAAATGTGTGGATATGAAGCTTAATCCTGCATATTTAATATCAGCACAATGTCACACATTCACAAAAAAGCTTTTTTCCCATTTTGTTTCCGCACCATTTTTAACAGCATTTGCAGATCAGTCGTTTTGAATTGAAAAAGTTGGTTGGTAGAATCCTCTTATCCTACATGTTCGAACTCTTTTTTTCACTTTTCTCGTGAGCCAAAAGCAACCATTGTATTAAATGCAGTGTTTTTTATTCCTCGCTATGCCTTTCTTGTCCCTGTTTATCATCTCAGTGCCTCTGTCAGCCTATAAGTGGCTGGTGTGCTACCTGCTGCAAGAGAGTAATAAAAGGCTGGAACAAGAGAGGGCCTTGGGCAAGAATGATTTTGAGGCCCGGAACAACAGTCAGGTAAGTTGCATACTCTCAGACACACACAGTGTTCCAGTTTAAACCAAAGCCGAGGCTCTCTCAGGAACCGCCACTTACTTTTGGCTGGAACCGCACAAAGCTGCTCCCAGAGTCTTGATTCTCCGAGTGTTCTTTGGTCAAATCAAATGCAAACCTTGACAAGACATAGGCAGCTGTCCCTGAGCTGATTCCCCACATGCACGTGTCAGCACACGCTGAAGCAGAACTGTGAGCTCACCAGGACATCCGTTCTGAGCTAATAAGAAACTTTGATAGTGTTGCATACTGTGGAACATGGAGTAGTTGACTCAATTTACACAGAGGAACAGTGGTTTACAACTGCCAGGCTGGAACCACCCCCCAGCCAGCCTGCAGTGAGCAGAAACACAGGAGAAAGCCCAACCCAAAGCCACAACACAAGGCCATCAGATCATAACCAGAGCATGGAAGTCACTTCTGGATACTGCAGCTGCTGTTAAAATGTAAATGGTTAAACATCGGTCCGTTTGGAACCTTTCTACATTCCTTTCCAGCAGAAGTAGCTTTAGTTTCCCGGGCATAGGGAGTTCAACCCGGTAGAACAGTAATATGACACAACCAGGTCCACCATGAAAGGTTGAAAGAATGTGTTGGGCAGTGGAAACTAAAGCAGAATATCAGGCTTTCCTTTTGTGTGTAGGTGTATTACTGCAGGTCCCTGGCGATCACATATATTGAACACACTTGCCTCCTGAGATTTCACGAGCTGACCACCGATGAAGACACGCCGGCCGCTCTGAAACCAGTTCTACAGAAGCTGTGTGCCTTGTATGGACTGTGGAGCCTCAGCAACCACATGGCAACACTGTACCAGGGTAGGTCTTTGTGCCCAAACCTGGTCAGACACTAAATAAACCCAGCTGGCTGGTACTGAGTAACAGATGAACCCCATGCAGGTGCTTACTTCAGGGGGAGTACGCCCACAGAGCTGGTCCAGAGGGCCATCGTCACGCTTTGCTCCCAGGTAGAGAAATCTTTTTGTTTTTCACCTCAAACCTTTAAGCAGGTAACCTGCCAAGCAGTTGTAAACATGTTGCTGTCCTGAGGACTGGACGTTAATTAGGTCCAGGACTAATTAACAGAATTATGGCAGAAGTTTTTGCCATCTGTCTTTTTCAATGTTTCCGCTCCAGTGTTGTGCAGCAGTAACATAATTTCTTCCACATTGTTTGCACTAAAAACACACAAGAAAACAACAATCTGTTTGTATAAATTCAAATTTGAGCTGCTGTTTGATATCTTTTTTCTTTTTTTTTTCTTTACCAAATCAGAATGAATACACTTTTTTTAGTTGAAAATACTAAATTCAGATGATTATGTTAATTTGTGTCGCTGCTAAATTGAAGACTGCTCCCATATTCAGGACAAAACAACCCAAATAATTTTTCCAAATGACCACATGATTTGAAAACAATACGTCTGACGTTCTCTCGTCCTTATTGTTGAGCTATAGCCCATATTTTATTAGCATGACAGGGAAAAAGACCCACTATGCACATATTCCTGGCAGAGCACCATTTTTAAGACTAGACATGGTATTTAGGAAGAATCTAGGAAACCGACTGTTACGTAGACTTTTACTACTTTTAATGGTTCCCTGAGAGAAGCTGCAAACGTTGTATATTTTTCTGAAACCTCTCTGAA